TTTTCTTGGTTTGGAAGGTTCCACGAATCCTGGATTCTTCGTGAAGGTTTTTTCCTGGGTTCCCTCCTGGGTCCCCTCCTGGGTTCCCTGCTGGGTCCCCTCCTGGGTTCCTTCCTGGGTCCCTTCCAATGTTCCCTCCTGGGTCCCTTCCTGGGTTCCCTCCTGGGTTCCTTCTATTGGGTTTGCTCCTGGGTCCCCTCCTGGGTTCCCTCCCGGGTCCTCCCCAGGAGCCTTCTGGGACCTCTCTGGGGCCTCTCTGTGGCCTCCTGGGGCGTCCTGGGGCCTCCTGGGGGCGCCGGAGGCCGTCCGCCCCCCACGGAGGAAGGGCGGGGGGTGCAAAACCAACGAAACCAAAGGAACAAAAACAAAGAAATCAAAGGCAGATCGCTGAAAAGCCCAAATAACCTAAGGAACAACAAGAAAAACAAAACAACCAAATAAAACAAATTCAAGGCTGCGTCCACCCCCGCACCCCCCCCAAGAGAAAGTAGTGAAATCTTTGTGTATTTGCTTTTGTTGGTTTTCCTTCGTGTTTTTGGTTGTTCGGTAATACGCCTTTGATTTCTTTGTTTTGTTTGGTCATTCCTTGTGTTTCCTTTGGTTTTCGTTGCCGTTGTAAAGAAGGGAGGACGGGGAAGGGAGGATGAAATCGGATGAGGAGGGAGGACGTGGAGGAGAAGGAGAGGGGGGGGAGAACGAGGAGGAAGACGACCCTTGACAATCGGCTCCGTCTGAAAACCACACAGGTGCGGGAATACCCGAACGCCCATATGTACATACATATATAATTATGTATATGTCTATATATATATACGTAAGTGCATACGTGTCTACATCAATAAATACATCCAGTGTGCGTATTGACATTGGGCAAATGTTCAGGCACAACTCCCCTGCGCATCATTTTTGAATGTGCTGGTGAGGACACGCGAGGCGTAACTAATTGTTGAGATGTTCTGGGCCGCGGACGCCCGCAATCGAGTTGGGTTCGGGCACGAGACGGTTCCGGGGGCCACACTGCCCAAGACACGGCAGAATCAGTCAACACCAACTCGGGAAATCGGGTCGGATCATGACGTACATCGGATCGGGCCGCATCAGCACGGAGTCGGAATCGAATGGATTGGGCCGCGCCAGGATGCACAACAACGCCATGCAAACGCTGGGCCGCATCGGGCCGCCCGGACTTCGGAATCGAATCGGATCGAGCCGGCTGAAATCGATCTCGAATCCGATCGGTGGGTGAAAATGGGCCGTGGAAGGGTCGGACTGCTCATCGAGCCCGAGTGCAGCTTCGGGTCGCCCGCGGCTGCCCGCTGAGCCGCACATCGCGTCGTGCCTCAGTGGGCGCAGCGCGCGCGCGCGGGCCCCTTCGCGCTCGTAAGCGGCACTCGGGGCAACTGCCTTGAAAGGCGCGTCCAGACTCTCTGTTTCACGCGGATCGCAAGACGAACTGAGTGCGGTCTGGCTGGGTCTCTGCAAGGTTCTAAGATCCCCCGCCCCTCCTGGTAGCGACTCGCTGCGTGTACCGCCCCCCTCTTTTGAGCCTCCTGGCCCGAGGTGCAGTGGCGGAACGTGCCGTGGGCACCTGGATGTCTCAGCGCCCCGAGGTGCAATAAACGCACCGCAGAGCGCGCGCAACGCACTTGCGCGACCGAGCGCACTCCGCCAGTCGTCTCTGGAACCCGCGCGGAACAAGAGAAAAACTTTGAGATCTCGGAACGAAGCGTTATCATGACGTCCTCCTCCTTTGACGAAGACCCGTGGCCCCCGCGCGGCCACCAAATGGGCTCGCGGGCCATTCCATCTTGAACACTCCCCACTCTAAGAGATTCACAAGCCATCCACCACACATATCCCATACATTTTTTTTTCCCCCGGGGGGCCTCTGGAACCTCAAGGGAAATCCGCCGACCCTCACGGGGCCCTTCCTTGCGGCCAAGATCACCACGTCATGCGCGAACGTGGAGCACTCGACCCGCGCGGAGCGCCGAAAACTCCAGCTCGAGACGAGAGCCGGTGAGAAACTATCGACGGAGGACCTCCCCTCGAGGGCCGCCGGTCGACTGCGCACGATCTCCAACGATCCGAGATCACTGATGCACGGCGAGGAGGCACAACCGGATAGACAACTGCGACTCCAGAAAGTGACCGCAGAGGAATGGGCAATGAAGAGCGGAAATGCGACTCCGGCGAGTAACCGCATCCGGAATGCGACTCAAGCGAGTGACCACAAATGGAATGCGACTCTGAAGAGCGACCACATACAGAAGACAACAGAAAATGCCAGCCGCGACGAGTGAAGAGCCGCAGATTGCGGGTCCAGGAGCCATCATGCTCAAACTATTCGTGTGTGAAGAAGGGCGGACCATCACCATTGTCCTGCCAGTCGCCGGCGCCCGCCGAGGCGGCCCCCCCTGGAGGAAGCGGCAGACTGCGGGCGGAAACGACCGGAGTCCCGAACTGGCGGCGGCCGAACAGAAAACCTCATGCATCAGAATGTCTCGAAAGCACGGGAGAGCCCCGGTCCCCAGACGGGGGCCCCACATTTCCCATACATTGTGCGCCGTGGGTTACTGTCTGCGGGTCCTGGGGACCGAAACGAGATCCCAAATGGTGTGTATACTTGAGTTTATCGCCATTTTGGAATGACGTTTGATATATGCACATACAGGGTGGCAGCGTGGGCTTCAAGCAGTGCGCGTGATTGCACCGTGGAGGTGGAAGCTATGCGATGTAAGCTGTGCGGTGAAAGCTATGCCGTGTAAGCCAGAAGGCTTGGGCTATGGAGGTGACAAGTGTGCGGTGTAAGCTGTGGTGAAAGCCATGTCTTGTAAGCTATGCGGTGTGAACTGGATGTGAAAACTACGGGGTGTAAGCTTCGTAAAAAGAAACTATGCTGTGTAACCTATTCGGTGCAAACGCCATGTGAAAATGCGTGGTGTGAACTATGTGGTGACACACATCCCGTGCAAACTCACGAGGCGCCCGCGAGCCGGCACGGGCGGCAAAGTGGCGCACCTCGACATACCCCCCACGCGCGGGGCGCCCACACGGCGCCCACGAGGCGGCACGGTCGGCAGCGTGGCGAAGGCCCAACCTACCCCCCAAGCGTGGAGCGTCCACGAGCGGCCCACGAAGCGGCACGGGCGGCAACGTGGGGCACCCTCGAGTCCCCCCCCCAAGCGCTGGGCGCCCACGAGGCGCCCACGAGGCGCACGCGAGGCCTCACGGGCCCGCAGCCTTGCGAAACCCCGCCGTGCCCATCCAGTTCCATGAGCAACCTGCGTGAGAGCCCAAACATGCAAAACTGTCTGGGGACAAATCCGCCGGCCCCCTTGTGGGGCCACCAGGCTGTACGCCGGAGGTTCGCAGTTTCCTGTACCAGGTGCAGCTTCCAGTTTCCACCGTTACAGTTCTGCTTATTGCTGCTTACTGTTCCTTGTTGATGGACCGCGCGAGGGGGGGAGGCCCAAAACGAGTATTTTTACCACGCCCAAATGAATTGCGAGGGTGGGTACAAATTGACACCCCTCACGCAGATCGGCGGGGTCAGGGTCCAAAACACAAGGGATTTGCCACATTTCTGAAATTCGGCGGCACCCCTCACGCAGATCCGCAGGGACAGGGTCCACAAACACAAGGGAATTGCTACATTTCTGAAATTCGGCGGCACCCCTCACGCAGATCGGCAGGGTCAGGGTCCCAATACACAAGAGATTTGCCACTTGTCTTGAAATTCGGCGGCACCCCTCACGCAGATCCGTAGGGTCAGGGTCCCAAACCACAAGGGATTTGCCACATTTCTGAAATTCGGCGGCACCCCTCACGCAGATCCGTAGAGTCAGGGTCGAAAAACAAACACTTCCCGACACTGCTTCACGGCGAAGCCAAAGCCTCATAACTTCGCTCTTCCATGGCCCATTCTCCGAGAGAGGGAGGGGACCGGCGGCAGGGGACGAAGCCCTTACGGATCTTGACCGCCTGCGCAGACGTCCCCGCCACGTCGACGGCGCGAGCCTGCCGTACCCTACCCCAACGAACGAAGAAGCCACGAGCAGACACTGTCGGGGCGCGCGGATTTCCTGCATCGGCGCTGGAGCGCGGATCCAAAACATCCCCGCAGAGCTCCGAAAGCTTGCGGGGGGAGAGAACGAATGCTCGGAGATGGACTCCGTGGCCGCAACCGCAAAGGGGCGGCTCCGCCAGGGCCGACGCCCGCCAGTGCCCTGGGTGCTCTCCCGAGCTTGCCGCCACGAGGGTCACCTCCTCCACCACCTCCTCGCCCCTCCTCACCCCTCAGCGCCCCTGTTGCTCATTCTCCTCTTTCCGGCCCCCGATGGGATCCGCCCCGATGACCCAGCATCTGTCAACATAAGACAATCGGGATCTCGGACTCGAAATCAAATCGGATGGAGACGCCCAGAATCGATATCGCCAGGCGCTGGGAGGCAAAGATGTGGAGGCGACGCTGGTCGAGCGGGAGCCGGACTTTGGGTCTCCACGGCTTCGGCCGTGTGCTGCCATGCTTCTGGGCACGGCAACCGACCACAGCCACTACGGAGTAGATCCTTCTGGAGGCCCCATGGGCCTCGGGGAAGAACCCACCGACCTCGACATACGAGGCTGGCGCCCCTGCACCGTACCATGTTTGGACTACCTTCGGGCCCCGCCCCAACGCGGTACTGTGCATAGTTGCTCGGCTCTGAGGATCGAAAACCATGCACCCTACCACCCCTGGGTCTGGGGAAGCCAAGAGGTACCAGCACCGCACTCAGCCGCTAATTCCCAGACCTCTCCCGTTTGCATTCTGACCAGAATTGCGGGGCGAATCCAGCGGTGGCGACCAGGGCCTCCTAGAATCCTAGAAGGCCCCAAGGACGAAAACGAGGGACAGGTATAGCGGTAGGGGCGAGGACCGACGGCGCCTCGGGAGACGCCAACGACTTTCGGTGCACACGGACTCGTTTGCGGATCGACAGTACGACCCTTCCGTGGTCCTCTGTCTGCCGGCAGCGCCGCTGCACTTCCCCAGCCGCCGTCGGGGCAGCCTGCGCGGGAGCGGGAGCCCAGAAACAGGCGGTGCGCCGGCCGAGGTGCCCAAGGGCAAGGACGGGCGGGCGCCTCAAAGCGCAGCTCCGCCTACCCGTACCAGGACGGCCCTGGCCTTCGTTGCTGACACTCGTTCGACCTTGAACGATCGGCGGCTTCTCGATCGCCCGATCGTTCCACGTTGGCCGATTCTAGGCCGCTGGCGGCGTTCAGCCCTGAACGCCCGCGGCGGGGTCGCCGCCGCCGCGCTGGCACGGCGCGAACCCGCGAACCTACCGTACAAGAATGGTTTCCGAACGAGGATCGAAGGAGCTTTTGTGGCAACGGCGAGCCTCGGCCACGCACAGGTTCCCAAGCCTAGGTCCGAGGAGCGGCCCGACAGCAAGAGCCCCTCCCGAGCCCGATGTACTCCTTGTTTCAGAGTCTCGACTGTGCTCCAAGTTCCTTAAAACATACACACACAAACCCAGACACGCGCACACACACACGCACACACGCACACACGCACACACGCACACACGCACACACCGCACGCACACACCGCGCGCACACACACACACACAGACACACTGGCACGCGCCTACACACACACACACACGCACACACGCGAACATGCGCACACGCGCACGCACACACCGCACACACACGCACACACACGCACACACGCACACACGCACACACGCACACACGCACACATCGCACGCACACACCGCGCGCACACACACACAGACACACACGCACGCGCCTACACACACACACACACACACGCCCACACGCGAACATGCGCACACGCGCACGCACACACCGCACACACACACACACACACACACACACACACACACACACACGCACACACACAAACACCATACACACACACACGCCCGCACGCACGCACGCACGCACGCACACACACCAACCACACACACACACACGCAACACATAGCACACAAGAGCACACGCGCACTTTACGCACGCCAGCGGGGACTCGCAACGCACCCGCAACTTACGCACGCAACGCACGCACTGCACACACGCACGCACGCACGCACGCGACACACCACACACACACCGCGCGTCACCCTACGCCCACACCTAACATGCGCCTATGCGCACAGGCGCACAAGCGCACAGGAGCACGCGCGCACAACGCGCAACACGTCGCACACGCGCACACTCGCACCGCGCACACGCGCCACATAAACGCGCAACACGCGCACACGCGCACACGCGCACACGCACGCGCGCCCACGCCGCACAAAAACGCGCACACACACGCGCACACGCACAATCGCACACGCGCATACGCGCACACACACGCGCACACGCACGCGCACACGCACGCGCGCACACACACACACACACACACACACGCACACGCACACGCACACGCACACGCACGCGCATCCACACATACACACACACACACATGTTGTTTTTTTCCGTCGGCGGCGAGGCTGAGGTAGCAGCACCAGCGAGCAGGCTAAACGGGGGCGCCGTTGTATCGATTTGGCCAACATGCACGTGCGGAAAACAAGACAGGGCGGGCAGCCGCAGAAGGAGGGAAACGAATGACCGCTCAGGGGCGGACCGGTCGGACCGGTCTCATTCCTGTGTGATCTGGCGCGGCCAGCCCCGCCGGCGTGGACCGTGGCAGCTGCCAGGCCGCGGCGCTGGTGCACCCGCGGGCGCAGGCGGGGCCGAGTATGGGCACTGCAGGTAAACGAAACAGCGAATCCGCCGACGAGCACGAGTTGCAGGGTGGACGGCGGGGGCCGCGCGCCGCCCAGGTGGGAGGCACGGCAAGGTGCGACAAGTGAATGTGCGTCCAGGTTGGACCGCGTCCGGCAAAATGCCGAATTAGCGTAGGGGAAAGGGCGGCAAGACCAGGCCCAGGATCCCGAACGTGTGGGGAAGCTGCCAGCGGCGGCAGCCCCGCGAGCGCCATGGCGGCGCGCGAGGGAGGGGGGAGACTCGGGAGGGAAAGGAGGCAGAGGGAGAGGGCGGGCGGAGAAGCGCCCCCCCTGCGGGGAGGTTCCCGCAAGCGGGGCGGCAGCGCCAATGCCGGCGCCGGCGGCCAGCGGCGGTGTGTCCGGGCACTGCGCTGCTGCGGTTGCCTGCGCTGTAACGCGTGCTGCGAGCTGCGCCACGCCCCGGCTGCCAGATGAGGGCACAGGGGGGGCAGGCCAAAGCCAACGTAGTGGCCGCGGCCGCGAGCTGGGCAGTCGGGGTGGACCGCGCAGAACCGGCCTGGGGGTACCTAATCGGTGCAAGGACGGTGAAAGACACGAGCACGCTGCCGGGCTGGACAGCGTGCAGTCACTTCGTCTGCAAGCCAAAGCTGCGGCCGGGGCCGAGAGGCCCCCACAGCCGGGGGGGGATGCCAGGTCAGGAGCACCTAATCGGTGCGAGGACGGTTGTATAGAGGCGACCGAGGCCGCAAGGGCCACGTGCTGCCGGGGTAGGCGGCCCGCGGCAGGACAAAGGAGGAGAAAGGAGCCAGGCGACAAAGTCACAGATGAGTACCACGCGCCGCTGGGATGGTTGGCGCGCGGTACAAGATCTGCCAGGTGGCTCAGAGGTCGGCCTGGTCGATGCGGAGGCGGTCCTGGGACACCAGGTGACTTCTGCGGTTGCTCGCATAGGGTGCGGGGCACGGTCGAGGACACACACACACATATATATATATATATATATATATACCTATACAACCATCCTTCGGGTGATAAGGAGGTTCGGGGGGGAGGAACCAACGTCTCACTCGATCGGTCTCACTATCGATCTCACTATCGATCTCAGTATCGGTCTCGCTCGATCGATCTCCCTCGATCGATCTCACAATCGATCTCACAATCGATCTCACTCGATCTATCTCACACTCGATCTCACCCGATCATCATCATCATCATCATCATCATCATCATCATCATCATCATCATCATCACCATCATCATCATCATCATCATCGTCATCATCGTCATCATCATCATCATCGTCGTCGTCGTCGTCATCATCATCATCATCATCATCATCATCATCATCATCGTCCTCATCACCATCAGCATCATCATCAGCATCACCATCATCATCATCATCATCATCAGCAGCAGCAGCAGCAGCATCAACATCAGCATCAGCAGCAGCATCATCATCAGCATCACAATCACCATCATCATCATCATCATCATCATCATCATCATCTCATCATCTCATCATCTCATCATCTCATCATTATCATCATCATCAACATCATCATCAACATCAACATCAACATCAACATCAACATCATCATCATCATCATCATCATCATCATCATCATCATCATCATCATCATCATCATCATCATCATCATCATCATCATCATCATCATCGCGGACACCGCGGGACACCGGCTGGATCACCGCGGGACACCGGGGGCGGGTCACCGCGGGACAACCGCGGGACCACCGTGAGCGGGACACCGCGGGCCACCCGCCGCCGGAAGGGAGACATTGGTCCGGCCGCGCCTCAAAAAAAAACACAAAAAAAAAACAACAAAAAAAAACAAAAAAAAAAAAAAACTAACACACAACATAAACAAAACAACACAAAAAAAAAAAAAAAAAAAATCAAAAGGCCATAAAAACAACAAACAAAAGAAACACAAAAAAAAAAATCAAAAAAACAACAATTCAAAAAAAAAAAAAACAAAGCACACACGGGACCCCAGCGGACACCGGCGGACCACCACGGGCCCCCGCGGGCCACATGGCCGCCCGGAAGAGACACATTTGGTCCGGCCGCGCCTCATCCACAGGAGACTTTCCTCTCGCCTGCCCACGCAGCTTCGCCTCGCCCGCACGCACGGCACGCACGAACACGAAACCGAAATCGATTTCCCGGTAGGGGGGCTCTCCGTTCCACTTCGATCTCACCCCCTCACCTCCGATATATGTGTATGCGTATACATATACATACATACATACATACATGCATACATACATACATACATACATACTTACTTACTTACTTACAGACAGACAGACAGACAGACAGACAGACAGACAGACAGACAGACAGACATATATGCATGCATGCATGCATGCATGCATGCATAAATACATACATACTTACACGCATACACATACCATGCCACCCCGTCCGACGGCCCAATCCGACAGCCTCACGCACGCCGAAGCCGGCCACCCGCGCGATCCAACTCCCCCACGCCATGCGTCGGACACCCCCCCTCTCCCCCCCCCCCGAGCGATCCCCTTCGCCACGTTGATCAAGCCAAACAAAGTGGGCATTCGCGCCAAGGCCTGGAGAGGGCGTCAATAGATATATTCAAGTCGCTCGGAAAACGCCCCAACAAATACTGCCGCGTCAAGAGGAAAAACCCCGCCGCCTGGACAGGCTTGTTGCGCGGGCCACGCCCGTCGGGCACGGGGGCTCTGGGAGTCAGCATCGCCGCTAAGAGCTGCTGAATTGCAATTTCCCTGCGCAAGGTTCGGGGCGCTCGGGAAACCTGAGCCGGGGGGGCAACCTGGAACTCTACGGATTTCCGCGGGCGGCGCCGCCCTCGTCGTACTCCCGCTGGCTTCTGCCACATTCCGCCGATGCGGAGCTGCCAACTTCCCGACCCCTCGAAAGCGAGGCCCTTTCCTGAATGGTAAGGCTTCGGGTGGCGCAACAGGCTCCCCGAATAGTCTGGGGCAGTCTCAGCACCCCAACCCTGGGGCGCGGAGCGCCCAAACAGCGCCGCCGCACGCGTCGCCAAGGTGTTGAGACCACCCAAGACTACCCGGGGGGCCTGTTAAAAACTACCTGGGGGGCCTCACTGTCAGCAACCCAAAGCCTTACCATTCTGGAACGCCCTGCTTCGCTGGACCCGGGCGACGGCGCCGAACGAAGGAGGGATGTGCGCTCACAGAAACGAAGGGGAACACGAACAGGGACCGACTCAGGCAGTAAATATCGACCTGGAATCGGCGATACATCGCCGATAGACCAGCGATAGGCCCCCGATAGCTAATCCGCTCTTCCCTGGGCGGGGTGGGCTATCAGGCCCCTATCTGCAATCAAAGGGGGATTGGAGGTCTTTGACATTCCCAATGGGCCTATCCCCCTAACGCTGCCCCTGATCCCAAGTATTCCGCCATCCTCACCTACTTCCAGTATTCTCCTCCACGTCCTCGTCCCTCCTCCTTCCAGCCAAGTCATCCTCCTCCTCCTCCTTCTCTTCCTCCTCCTCCGCCTCCTCCTCGCAACGGGAAAAAACAACACAAGCGAAGACTTGGAGACGCTGCCGGAGGTCCAGAGCAGATCCAAGAAATCCGCGCCTACCTTTGCAACTGTATGTTTGTGTTGCTGTTGATCCTCGTCTCGACTCCTGCCCTGCATGGGGGCAAGATTTCGTCTGGGGTCCAGTTTGGCAGTTTGGTGGCTCCAATCCCAAGCTTGTGCGGTTTTCGACTGGACAGACAAGTTGGGCCCCAACTCGGGGATATACGATGGTGGGGCGCCCATCCTCGATAAGGGGTGCGTCCGGGTAGTCCCCCGTGGGTGTATTCCCCGAGGGCCCCAGCGCCGATCCAAGAAATCCGCGCGGAGCGCCAAAAAAGCATGTTTGTGCTGTTTCAGGTCTGCGATATACAATCAAGGGTGACTCCAGAGGACACGCGAGAGGACACAACACCATTCCGAGGGCCGCATTGCCAAAGGAATGTAGACGGCATGGGTCCCTGAACACAGGACTCAAGGGCTCAAGGGTACCCTTGATTTGGCAGGGTCAACCTACTAATCAAACTCGACTGTATTCTGACGGCCTGATGTTTCGTGGGGGGGCTGAGAGGCCACGTTTTGGGGGAACCAGCTCAGAAAGGAAACATCGAGCTGGAATCGGCGATACATCGCCTATAGATCGGCGATGGGCCCCCGACAGCTAATCCGCTCGTTCCTGGGCGGGGTGGGCTATCGGGCCCCTACAGGCGATCAATGGGCGATTCGGGGGTCGATGCATACCCTGATCCTACCCCCCCCTCGTTTTCTCCGATGGGCTCAGGGACTGTTGGCGAGAAAAAAAACTCGCCTGCGAAGTGTGGGGACACCACGGGGCCCGCCAGCGACAGCGTCCGGAGGCTCGGCGACAGGGCGAGGTCCTGGCTGCCGCGGACCCGGGGCCAGCGCACACCGGCCGGCTCCCGAGGGGGTGGAGGGAGGCACCTGGGCGAGCTCGGGGGGGGGGAATGCAGATGGGGCAGGCTTTCTCTAGAGGAACAAAGAGAAGCGTAAGCAAGTTCACGGAGGTCCACGCGGATTTCTTGGATCGGCGCTGCACCCCAACTCCCTGGCGCGCGGAGCGCGCCAGCGGCCCCAACGCCGAACCAAGAAATCCGCGCGGACGTCAAAGAAAGTATGTTTCTGCCGGCTGTTGTTTTTCGACCAACCCCTCTGACATTCTGAGAAGTTTTCAAGGCCTTCTCCAAAGAGAGAGAGAGAGAGAGAGACGGCTTCTCAGAAGGCGTGAGGGCTTCTGGGCAGCCCCGCCGCCTTCTGAACTGGCCTGCCCCATTCTCACTTCCTCGCTGGGATCGCCGCCGAGCCTGGGCGAGCCGGAAAGCGTCGGGACCTCTGGCCCACACACTGGAGAATCACTTCGCCGGATGTCCGGCTGGAACAGCATCTCGTACAGCGGAAGCCGAACCCGGGGCTGAAACTCCAAAGGCGAGAACAGGAGAAAGCCCTCCCTGGCCGGCTCCGGAGCCGGCCAGGCAACAGGCCTTGGAAACCCTGGCCAACCGACGGCATCGGGCCGGACGCTACTCGCAGTTCTCGGAGCGCGGAGGCTGGGGGCCGCCTCCCAACCAGAGGCCATAGGGTTCGAGTAGATGGCGTCGAAGGATCGCGCCGCATCGCCAATGCATCGCCGATGCGTCGGCGACATCGGCAGTGCATCGTGGACGTCGGCGTGGCGAAACTCGGGTTCCACATCGAGCCGCATCGCCCATGTATCGGCAACAGGGCGCGATCATCCGACCCCAACTACTCGGACCCCATCTCGGAGGCCTAGACCCGCCGAGAGCTCGCAGCGTCGTGAAAAAAAACGGCTGTTGAATCTTTGAATCTGAGTTGTCTGAAATCTATTGGGCCTTCGACCCTTTCGAATATTTGGAAAGAAACAAAAACGCACCGCTTTTTTTCATGTTCGTTCTGCTCTGGGGGGCCCTCGCTGGGCCCCAAGACTATAAAACAACGGCTCGAGACGAGGAAAGATGAGAAAGAAATGAAAAAATAAAGAAAAAAGAAAGGAGAAAAATAAAAAGAAAATAAGGAAGAAACAAAAGAGGAAAGATAAGAGGAAAAAGAATCGAGACGAGGAGCCGGTTCTTTGAAGTCCGCGTGGTGAAACAGCGACGTCGGAGGTGTGGGTCTACAGGCCTCCCAGATGGGGTCAGATTGGATCGGGTCGGAGGATCGCGCCACATCGCGCCACATCGTCGATGCATCACCGATGTGTCGGCGATGCATCGGCGACGTCGGCGTGGAGGAAATCAGAGTGCACATCGAGCCGCATCGCCGACGCGGCGCGGTCCTACGACCCCATCTACTCCGACCCCATCTGGGAGGCAGGGTCTGGGCCCCCAAGAAGGGCTGCCAAGAAGACGGCCCGGGCGGAGAGCTGGTCCCACGAGAGGGTGGCCAGAGGTCTAGGAATCACGATTGTGACGACGATGATAAAAAACTACGGCCAAGGCGATAGCGGCGATGATGACGGGTGGTTGAGATAATGATTACGTTGCCAGTGGCGGGCACGATGGTTACGACGATGTTGACAGATGATGACTATGACCACCGACAACGATAAAAAATGACGGCGATGTTGAACATGAGGTACGGTAGCGGATAACAATGGCGACTGCGCTACTTGTCGTCCGGAAAGCCTGGCCCCAAAATTCCGACGTCAAAAAAAACAGCATCGTAGAACACCGGAACAAAAACTCTCGACCCCATCTCGCTGCAGCATATTTTTAACCAGGGTCCCGGGAACCGAAGTGGGGCGAAATCTCCCACCACCACTGAGCCAAGCATCCAGACGGACGCGTGTGCTGAAGAACGCGAGATTGGCAACCCTTCGGGAATTACGAAAAAAGAAGCTGAAAACGGAGCGCCTCACAACTATCGAGCAGAAAATGGAGCGTCCGACTGTGAAGCAGATAGTGGAGCGCCCGACTGTAAATCAGGAGAGGCAGGAGAGGAGGACAAAGAGGGATAACTACACGCACTCGGTTAACTTATGTACTAAGTTAACTACTTGCTTGCCGCATTGCTACCGTGGCCGGCCGCGCTTCCAGTTGCTGATGAACTCCTTCGGCGTCCCGTCGCTGCTGCAGAGCACGCGCCGCACAGAATCGCCCCACGCGAGAAAACGCCACACCAGGACCGGAAGTGTTGGGTGTCGGCGCCCCCTTGGCTCCAGGCCAGGATGCGCTTCGCGTCGCGCCTGGCCTGGGTGACGCACGGAGGGGCCGGAAGCAAGGATGGTGGGCGGGAAGAGGCCACGACCTCCGCACAGCGCCGACGTGCGCTGGCGCTGCGCGGAGGGAAAGCGCGCGCAAGGCCGCTATCCACGACGCGCGTGCCGTGTGGCGGCGGGCCGCGCCTCCCAGCGCAGGGCGCGGCCCGCGATCGCGCCCCCGCGCGAACTTGCGACAGCCCGCAAATTCCCCCGGGGCCCTGCCGAGGCCCACGGGGGGGCTGTTGGGCCAATCGCAAAGTACGCGCGGCGCGGCAAGGCGCCAGCCTTCTACGCGCCCTCGTCGACGGTGCGACGCGACGCCCCCCCTGGGCCCCAGGCCAGGATGGGCGTCGTGTCGCGCCTGGCCCTGATGCCGCGCGGAACGCCGGGGTGCAAGAATCCCTACAGCGTGCGGCCATGAGCGAAACATGTGACATCGGGCTTCGCCTTCTCTCCGTCCACCTCCCACTCCAGCAACCTCCTCCAAGCTCCTCCTCCTTCTCTCCCGCACCTTCGTCTTCCTCGTCCTCCTCTGTATGCCTCTCCCTCCTCCTCCTCCTCCTCCTCCTCCTCCTCCTCCTCCTCCTCGTATTACTACTCGTCTTCATCCGCCCACCGCAATCCTCCAACCTTCCGCGTCATCTTCTCTCTCACTCACATATTCCTCATATTCATCATCTTTCTCCTTCTTTCCTCATCTTCTCGTTTCCCCCCTCCCTCCCTCCATTGTCGCCTCCATTTCTCTTCCGGCTCCTCCTCCTATTCCGATTATGTTCGTCCTCATCGACCTCCTGAACATCCTCCTCCTCCTCCTCCTCCTCCTCCTCCTCCTCCTCCTCCTCCTCCTCCTCCTAATATTATCCATAATGCTCATCCTCCTTCTCCTCCTTGGTATTCTTCCTCCTCCTTCTCTCCCCTCCCCCGCCCCCCCTATCCGAGATCGGCAAGGAAGGGATGCAAGAAGCGGGTGGGGGAGCGGGGGGGTGGTGCAGAGGAGCCAGACCCCGCAGGCCCACCCCAAGGAAGGGCCAAGAGCGCCAACGACGACGACGACGACGAAAACACCGAGGCCGCCGGACGATGACGACTGTGGGACCTCTGCCCAGGTGCGCCCTGACCAGGGTTTCGGGACGAGTCCAGCCGTGGCGACGATGGACGTACAGCGGCACCGGGGTCCAAAGATCGCACCGCGCGACCGATGCATCGCCGATACACTGGCGACGTCGGGACGGAAAAACTAGAACTCCGGATTACGCCGCATCGCAAATGCTCAGCGATGCGGAGCGATCGTTAGACCTGTCTACCTGATGGGGGGCTGGAGGTATCGGCATCTGTTCCTCACCTTAACGACGGCGACGACCACGGCGACGGCGACGACACGGCCGAGGCAGAATTCGCCGGCCCAACGGGCCAGAGGCGTGCTAAGATCTCCGGTAACTGCTCAACCCGGGGGTCCCCGGACGAAAAGTACCCCGGCAAGGTCCCGGCAAGGTCCTGGCAAGGTCCCGGCAAGGTCCCGGCAAGGTCCCGGCAAGGTCCCGGCAAGGTCCCGGCAAGGTCCCGGCAAGCCCTCCAGACGGTCCAAGAGTGCCGGGAGACGCCGAAATATCACTCCCAAACGCCTGCGATGGCCTCAAGACGGCCCAACAGGCCTTCAAGACGCCCTAAGAGGTCCCTAAGCGGCGCCGCAAGAGGGCTCCCACAAGCAAAAATCGTCCCATTCCCTTCGGAAACGTCAATTTTTTACATATCCGCCTCTTCGTCTTTCACACCTTTCAAGGCGGTCCAAGAGGCCCCCAAGATCACCCCAAGACGGCCCGAGAGACCCTCTAGACCGCTCAAAGACGGCCCAATAGCGCTCCAAGAAGGCCCAAGAAACCCTCAAGAACTCTTTTTCGGAGCCCAGGAGGGCTCCAAATCGGTCCAAGAGGGGCCCGAGAAGCCCTCCAGACGGTCCAAGAGAGCCGGGAGACGCCGAAATATCACCCCCAAGCGCCTACGATGCCCTCAAGACGGCCCAACAGGCCTTCAAGACGCCCCAAGAGGTCCCTAAGAGGTCCCTAAGCGGCGCCCCAAGAGGGCTCCCACTAGCAAAAATCGTCCCATGCCCTTAGGAAAACGTGCATTTTTTACATATCCGCCTCTTCGTCTTTCACACCTTTCAAGGCGGTCCAAGAGGCCCCCAAGATCACCCCAAGACGGCCCGAGAGACCCTCTAGACCGCTCAAAGACGGGAACGCTCCAAGAAGGCCCAAGAAACCCTCAAGAACTCTTTTTCGGAGCCCAGGAGGGCTCCACATCGGTCCAAGAGGGGTCCGAGAAGCCCTCCAGACGGTCCAAGAGAGCCGGGAGACGCCAAAATATCACTCCCAAACGCCTACGATGGCCTCAAGACGGCCCAACAGGCCTTCAAGACGCCCCAAGAGGTCCCTAAGAGGTCCCTAAGCGGCGTCCCAAGAGGGCTCCCACAAGCAAAAATCGTCCCATTCCCTTCGGAAAACGTGCATTTTTAACATATCCGCCTCTTCGTCTTTCACACCTTTCAAGGCGGTCCAAGAGGCCCCCAAGATCACCCCAAGACGGCCCGAGAAACCCTCAAGACCGCTCAAAGACGGCCCAACAGCGCTCCAAGAAGGCCCAAGAAGTCGAAAACAAGCTGGTAAGCTTAGGTATGTAGTCCGCCTTAGGCGCTCCCATATCCCAGGCT